AAGTGCTGTGATTATAGGTGTGAGCCATCTGGCCAACCTGTTGTTTACTTTCTTCTTCTTTTCTTTTTAAGCTGCTGATTCTTCTTGCATTCTTTTTGTTTGTTTGTTTGTTTTAGCTATACACTGTTGTTTACTTTTAATTGAAATTTATTACACTTCAACCACTAGAGTGAAGTCCCTATAGATCTTATGAGTGAAGATTAATTTCTCCTTTTATATTTAAAAATCAACAGGATGCTTCACTAGGTTTTTTTCAGTTGTTAAAGTTTTAGGGAATTAGAATAATTACTTTTATTTGCTTTTAAGTCATTCTTGAACTGGAAATTAAATTTGTAATGAAGTTTTCTAAATTAATTAAAGGGAAAAAGTGTGACTATGATTTTTTTCCTTAATAATATATGTGTACCACTGTTTTCAGTTCAGTGTGTAGTGGTTTTAAAACTCAACATTGACCTCTACCAAAAAATCTTCAAATTCAGGAGGGGAAAAATAAATTATAAGCTAGTTTTTTTATAATATGCTATATATTCATATATAATTATATTGTATAAAAGGAGCTAATTCAGTTAATTTAAGAAAATTTCTATGAGGGAAATATTTCACATGGTCTGCCAAGAGCAACAGTCTTATTAAAACAGGTCTGTTACTGCTTGTTACTGAAAAATCCACATCAGAAGAGTTTGACTGTAAAACTACCTACATGTTATGAACACCATGTCTTCCTTGAAAAAGTTTGCAGACTACTTAAAATAAAAATGAAGGTGCCACTGTTTCATGTTATTTCTGCAAACATTACCTCTACTCTTCTTAACCAACCACAGATGCAGAGGAGGCTACTAACCAGATCTTAAATAGTAACCGCAAAGTCCTCAGAGCCAGGAGGGCAGCTAAACCTCCAGACCTGGCCATGTTCCTTGGAGATCTTTGGGCTGCATAAATTATGCTTCTTTTTTTGGACTGACAGATTCTGTCTTGGGTCTATTTGTACAAATAGCAAAGGAGGATACCAGCCGCATGCAGACGGCAGCCCTTCCGTCCTCACATTGGTAGACAGACGCTTCTACTCAGGAGCCGTGTGGGTGCCTGGGCACCTTTGGGAGTTTAAGCTGGAGCCGAAACGGGAACCAGAGCTGGAGCCCCAGCAGCAGCCTGGGCCTTGCTTGTGGCCTTGGCCTTGGCCTTTGGTCCGCAAAGCCAGCCTTTACCAGGTGGGCATGAGCGTGCTACGTGAGCATGGGGTGATGTAGGCAAATTGATTGAGCTTTTGGCTGATGGGATTTTGGGGTTGACCATGTAGGGGCAAAGGGCAAACTTCCCCTTTGCCTTCTAAAAGTTTGCTGAAAATCAACCGATAAGAGGCAGATTATGAGGAGAAAAGGCATACAAGTGTACTTGATCACAGTTTACCTGACATGGGAGCCTTCAGAATGAAGACCCAAAGATACAGGGGAAATTGTTCATTTCTATGCTTAGGTTCAGCACAGTATGGACGGCCTTGCAGAAATATAATGGACAAAAAGTGTATGATCTAATGCTAATAGACTGAGTGGGAAAACCCAGCAAGGCCCATCTGTCTAGAGTCTTCTTGGTCCCTCTGTGCAGCACTCCTTCTGGGCATGGGGCAGGACCCTCTCTGGAATGGGGGTCTTTTGACCTACAATAAAACAAGGTAGATCAGATAATTTTCTGTATGGCCAGTTTTTACACAGAAAGGCAGGGGGGAAGTTAAGAGTAATATTTTTAGGTTTTAAGCTGGCTTTGGGGAAAAAGTATTCTCATTTCTGTGACTGACTTTGGAGAAGAGGGATTCTAGTTTCTCTGGTTAGCCTCTGGGGAGAATGAGGGGCCAGAGACAGGAGGGCAAGAAAAGGTCAGAGAGAGGCTTTTGCATCCAAGGTCTTCATTTTGGGGTATCATTTTCTGAGCCCCAGTAGCCTCCTTGAACTTTACAGGGGCCCTGATGGCCACAGCAAGCACATCGAAGGCTTAGGCATCGTTGGCCTGCTTCTTCTTCAGGCTCTTCTTTTTGTGCTTTTGGCAAAGTGCATTTTCCTCAGGAACTTGGGGTCTACCCCCTTAAGAGATTCATATCGTTGTAATCAGATTTTCTTGATGCCATTTCTGTGCCAGCCATTTTCTAGTTGTTTGTGGCGTGTGGTTATTGGACTTGGCCATGTCTGCACTATAGCCTGCAGCTCCCAAAGCACCTCGGACCAGAAAAGAAAGTCATAGATTGTTTCTTAATATCATTTTAACAAGCTTATTAATACCAGTCAGGGCTACCAGTCAGTGCCTTACAAGGAGGCCCGGTCCTGCGGTGCGGGATCTGTAGGGGTGGTTTTTTCTAATCCTTGGAGAATGTACTGTCAGTCTAGTTTTGCAGATGAAAAAAACTGAGGCTCAGAGGTCACCTAGCCAGTTCTCGGTAGAGTTAGAATTGGCAATTTTCTGGCTCATTATCCTTTTCTGGTACCTTGAGGTATATTGTCCCCAGGTTATTAAGACTTGTGATCTCTTTATCAAGGAGGCCAATACCCATATACTCACAGATTCCTCCCACATTGGCATTGATTGGGCTATGTAGGGGAGGGGAAAATGGCTTCCGTCTACCTTTCTATGTTCTTTGGCTGGACTACAAATTAAATTGATATAAGGCAGATTAACAGGAGGAAAGCCATTTTAATTGTATGCATATGCACAGGCGCCCCACAAAACTGGAGACTTGAGGAAGGGCCAGATGATTGAAGCTTATATAGCATTCTGAGCTACAGAAAGAAACAGGAGCTTGGGGCTTGACAGGGAGGCGGGAAACACAGCTTATGGGAGGGGGAGGGGAGGAAATATATGGTGAGTAAAGTTTGTCTTGTTACGCAGATAAAGTCTCTGGCAATGAGAGTTGTCTCTGAGCAGCCCTCTTCCTGATACAGATACTTTTACCATGTAGACTTCCTTTATAGATGTAAATTTCTTTTACAAAAAGCAGCTTTTCAGAGCTCCTCCTGTGTCTGCAGCTTCTCAGAATAGCCAGCTTGAAATATGCCAATGAAGTATATTTTGGGGCAGCGTATTCTGGTCTTCTACAGTTATATTTTGGGGTAGTGTACCCTGAGCCTCCACAGCAAAAAAGAGCACAGGGTTCAGGGTTAGGAGGCCCGGATCCTAATCTAGCTCTGCCCCTAACCCAGTGGCCTCTGGTGAGGGTCTCCTGCCTTCCCGGGACCCAGTTTTCCTAAAAGGTGAGGAGGCCTCAGAGTCCCAGCTGCCTTAAACATTTGTAGATTTGGGGCCTTCCCTTTCTTTCCCCCAACCCCACCGCCATCAAGCTGCTTGGATCTTCCCAGAGGGGCAGAAACATTCTAGGGGCCCAACTGGTTTTCCCAGGCCAGGTGCTGGGCCCAAGTGAAGTGAAGTGACTGCCTCAACAAACAATGAGGCTCACTACAAAGTCCACGTGAGATCCTCAGTTTCTGATGAGTCACAGGCCGCCACAGTACAGGTTGCCTGATTCAGTTTACATTATTTTTGTTTTGAGTTAGAGCCAACTCTCATTACTTCCAGTGGCTCTGAGTAGGGCCTGCTCGATTATTTCTCTTCCTCTAAACGCCTGGATCTGAGATGCTGGACGACGCTGCGCAGTTTACAACCCAAGGACTGGTTTCCACGCAACTTTCCTCTTCGTCTCCAACTCCTAACCTGCCCCACAAGACACTCCTTTGCCAAAGTCTCTGGATGGAGATGAGTCCGGCTAAGGTCTAGCCTTGCGTCATGCGCCAGCGGGGGCAGACAAGTGGATTTCAGCCCCAGTTTTGCTTCAACTTTGCCGTGAGGCTTCTTTGGGAAAGTTATCTAATCTGTCTGGACTTCCGTTGCCTCATTTTTATTTTATTTTTTTTATTTCAGCATATTATGGGGGTACAGATGTTTAGGTTACGTATGTTGCCCTTGCTCCCCTCCCCCCCCAAGTCCGAGTTTCAAGTATGTCCATCCCTCTGGTGGTGCGCATTGCACTCTTTGTGTATGCATATACCCGTCCCCTCCTCCCTCCTCCCCCTTCCCCAACCGTTGCCTCATTTCTAAAACGGGTATGGTAACGTTTATTTGAAAGAGTGAAGGGCTTGGCACAAAACTCGTACCAATAGAAATACCTTCACTGTTCCTGGGGAGGTGGCTATGAGAGCAGATCTGGGTAGGAGAAAACCCAGGGGCACCCTCCCTGCCTTTTGCACGAAACAATCAATTATTTGGCACCTTCTTTTTAGTGAGGTCCGGTGATGCACAGATGCAAATTGAGTCCCTGGGCCAGAAACGCTCCCAGGCCGGCGGGGAGGGAGGCGGGGGGGCGAGGACAGGCTGGAAAATATACCCATATTTAGGGGAGCACGAAAAGGGATCTCAATTTGGATCCCCTAAAATGCCGTGGGAACATCAGCGCAGGGATTCAAGGAAGCTTGGGCAGAGGAAAAAGCGCAAAAGTCGAAAGTTTTCTTGGCAGATGAAGGAGGTAAAGGGATTTCAGGAACTGGGATCTCGTGGATGGGATGTCCTGGGTGGCGCGAGGCAGAGCTCCGACCTGCACCCGGCGGTGCCCGCTGTGCCGGATCAGTGCGGGACACTCGGGAATCGCTCACTAAAGCCTCTGAGCTGTACTGGAGCCAGCAAACAGCAGTTCCTCCCGATCCAAAGGCGGAGGGGCGCTGCGCCCTCCTTGGCGAGGGACCGGCCCGGCAGGCTGACTTCGGAGCCCGGCGCCCCGCCGGGAAGTGACCGCGGCAGCCCAGCCGCCTGACGCCAGCGGAAGTGCGAGCCCGAGGCGAGCCTGCTCCGGCGCCGGGCGCCCGGGAAGGGGCGGGCACGGGGCGGGGCTGGGGCGGACGGGGCGGGGCCTGCAGCGGCGGGGCGGGGCTTGGCGGCGGTTGTTTTCACCCGGGCGGCGGTGCCTAGGCTCTCGGCTGCGGCTGCTCGGCGTGGGGGCGTGAGCCGCGGCGGAGAGGGGCGCCCGGGAGCCGGGGGCCGCAGCGGAGCCAGCGGGCGCACCCGTGGGCGGCGGCCGCCGCGATGTCTGCTCGGTGCTGTGCGGGCCAGGTGAGCGAGGCCGGGCGCCGCGCGGGGCTTGTCGGATCGGGGGACCGGGCCAGGAGTCCCGGCGCTGCGGGCTTGCCTGGGTGCGCTTCCAGCAACGCGGCCGAAGCAGGGGTCGGGGTGGGTCGCCGGGGCTGACCCCACACCGCTGGGTGAGCGCCTCGGGCCGGGAAATCCTGTGCCCCGGGCGGGCGGGAAGCGCAGGGGGAAGCCGGAGAGGCTACCGTGAGGTCTTCCAGTCCGGCCTCTGGGACTCCGCGTGGGGCGGGGCGCGCAGGGCACGGGCGGAGTATCCCGACCGCCTCAGGGGTGTGTCGCCTCCCGCCCAGGGCACTGGGGAGCGGCTGTCCCGGCTCTGCTTGTCGGATGAACCCAGGAAAAAAATGTGGGTTTGGGCAACGTCTCCTTTCCCATACCCTGAACAAAACTCGGGTCAGACAACCCAGGCAGGTAGCGCTCGACATCTCCAAGTCTAGCGCGTGGGCGCTATACCTTTGAGAATGTCTCGAAGCCTGATTCCCAGACTGCCGGGCGCAGGTCTGGGCGAAGGGAAAACTCATCCCTGCTTCCTGAGTTTCCCGACCCAGCCCTGGCTCGGTACTGGCACGACTGCCTGGGTAGGGCGCGAGCCTTCCTGTCTCTCTTTGGAACTAAACTTGCTCAAACCTGTTTTGTAACTTTTGCTTGTTAAATCCATGATATCTTAAAACATGTATGTCGTCTTGGGATAGGCGCCTCCTAACAGTGTAGCAGTGCAGAATTAGTAGGTTTCAGTGCTTTTATGCTACTTCACTCCTTCCTGCGGAGTTTGAAAAAAACGAAGTCGGTAAAGTCTTCTGGACGTCAGGCTCCCTCCCCGTCCATGTTGATTATCAGCATTTGTGTACAGAGTTCTAATGGTGTGTTTTCCCAAATGAATCTGGCTCTGGGGAGCATTCAGGTTCAGGGGTGTTGTTTTCACTCCGCCTTAGGACAGCGGTAAGCGGCACAGGGGTTAAGCTGTGGGTTTGTGTAATCAGCGACTATGCTGACAGATAATCCGTCCTCTCTGGAGTAGCAGTGTGGAATTATCTTGATTTTTGAGGTCTAATAGTGTGCTTGGCATGCTTTCAAGCTGGCCTTTTCAGATGAGAAAATTGAGGCTTTTGACTTGAAGTGAGATGATTTTTCCCTGAGTCAGGTGGAGAGAGAAGGGTCACCACCTTACCAGTGATTTGAGACCAAGGTGGACCAGAAAAGGCTGTTTTTATAAAGTTCTGCAAATCTTTTATTCTCGTTGTTTTGAGAATATTGCTCTCCAATATAATGCAATACTTTTCGTTATGTAGTAATTACATGACCGATATTTAGGGGCTTCTGTCCTTCTGGTCTCTTGAAAGCCCCTCGAAGCTCTTTCTGTGACCCCCAAGTGCCTAATTTAGGGTTTTGTAAATGATCAGCAGTATACAAGTGGGTTTTGTAAAAGAATTATTTTGGTATTGATATTTTGACAGCATTTAATGACTTGTTTCTAAAATCTTCCTTCCCATGACTTTGGAAAGAACCAAATCCTGGCCATTCATTACAGAAAAGTTAACTTCTGCTTTCTCGGGACTGCCTGAGGTGGCATCAGTGTGGTGTGATGGCGATCACACTGATTTCACATGGATGGAGCTGTTAAGAAGTTAAAACAAAAAACCAAAAACCACCACCTTATAGCACCATCAGAAGCTATGTCTACCAATTCTTTTGTTTGTTTGAGCACCCACCATGTGCCAGGAACTGGCTATATGGGTTTTTCTTTTTTTTTCTCCTCCCTCCCCTGGCTGTATGGTCTTAAGCTAGATTAAAATTTCTGCCCTCAGTGGTCTGTCTTGGTGGGGCAGGGAGAGCTGGTTATTCATAAGCATGTAAACAATGAAACAATAAATACTGGTACTGTAACAAGACTGCGTGGTAAGCAGCCGTGGGTAGGGTTGCTGGGGAGTCTGTCTGAGAAGATGCTCCTGGAATTCAGATTGATCAGTGAGGAGAGGCACCCACGCCTGGGTCGCCTGGGTTGGGGTATAGAAGGAAGTCCAGGGTGGCTGGGGGTGTCCTGGACCGAGGGGAGGCAGATGAGGTCAGAGAGGTGGGCAGGACCAGGTATAGCCAGAGCCCATCATCCGCTGATGGTGTTTGGGTTTTATCCTGGTTGCAGTGAGATGCTGTGATTGTGAGCAGGGTGAGCTGTGCTTTGATTTGCACTTTAGAAGGTCACTTGAGGGTGCTGCACTGTATCAGGGGCTAGAGTGGAGGTGGGGAGAGCAGGCTGAGCTGGTCATTCAGTGAGTATTTTCAAACTGCCTCTTATGTTCAAGCAGTGTTCTAGGCTTCAGCAGTGAATGAGAATCCCTTCCTGATGGAGCTTAAATCTTGGCAGTTTGCTGTTGCTATAGTCCAGGGAGGAAAGAACGTGGTACCTTAATTTAGGCTACGGCTGTAGGAGTAGGTACAGTGGAACATTGTTGGCTTCTGGATATATTTCAGAGGTAGAAATGGATTTGAGCATGGATTAGAAGTGGGGTGTGAGAATGAGAGAGGGAGATTCGTTTTTTGGCCTGAGCCACTGTGCAAAATGATAATCCCATTTACTGAGGTGAAGTAGGAGGCTGATAGGAAGAGGACATTTGGTGAGGAAAACCCGTATTTTTCTTTTGGCTTTTTTGCATTAGAGATATTAATAACTATTATAAAGTAAATGGAAGTGGGAAGTCACTAGTTGGATATTCAAGTCAGGGGAGAAGTTTGAGGGTGGAGATAGAAATTTTGAGGATATTCTTTAACTGAGGACCATCAGGAACAATGCATAACCCAGAAAAGAGCCTGAGCTTTGGACTCAAACCCCAGTTTGAATTGGGGAATCTGGACAACAAGGGCTGATACAACTGTGGAGAAGTTATTCACCCTCTATTACCTCAGTTTTCCTCAACTGTAGAATAGGTGTGATAATACTTCTAAGGGTTATTATGAAGATTACATGTGATAATAACCGTAAAGTCTCTAATACGGGATTTGGAGTCAGGAACATAACTTACCCGCAGCAGTACAGTCTGCAGGTCATCTTGTTTTATTTTTGTATCTACTCTGTTATTCACTTAGAGTTTGTATAGATGGTTGGCTAATGGATGCTAAGAAGACAGAGATTATAGGGAGGTTGTCATTCAACTACTTTCTGGGAAGTGTGGGGGAAGCTACAGAAAATGACAGCGCACACTGTCGGAGGTGAAGTGAGATGTATAATTGAAAAATATAGACAACCTTTCTAAGGCAATTTGAGAGTAAGGCTTGGGAGGGTTTACTGCAGGCAAGTATGAGCATTAATGATCATCATAATAATGTCAGGTTTTAATCTGAAACCATCAGTTCTTGGTGCACTCATGGCCGAAGAATGACCAGATACGCTAAAGTTAGGCAAGCACAAAAGTGAGGATTATTGAAGAGAGATAGGATTATAGGGCAAGAGCAAGATATAAGTTTTACAGAACATGGCACATAAGCCATGGATGATGATTGGACCCATTGTCACAGCAGGGCAAACAGAAGGAAGGGCAAATACAGAGAGGTTGGCTACGGGTCTGCGTCTTATTTTATAGTGCCTAGATAGGGACCACCGTCATGGTTCAGAGGTAACCATGGAACCACTTTGATTGGACAGTTGGGAGTCACATGACCCGAGCCTACCTATGCATGTGAGTTCTAGGTCACTTTCTGGACTTTATGGTACCCCCATGTGGCTTGGCCCGTGGGCTAGAGAGTCCTCTGCATTCTTTTGCAGCTGGCACACCAAGTTCTGATTGGCAGATTTGTAGGGTATTCCCTTCTTCCCCAGGTATGGAAAATCAGGGTTGGGCAGGACCAAGATGGGGGCAATAGCACCCACTTTCGTCCCTAGGAGACCCGGAATCCCTTTCTATCTACCTAACAATAATAGCTGAAGTTTATTTCAGCCCACAGTATGCTCTGTTTTCATGTGCATTATATGAGTTATTCTGCACAAACACTCTCTGAGGTGGGTGATATTCTACTTGGCCTCCTTTTACAGGTGAGCCAACTGAAGTACAGAGAAACAAATTAAATGACTGATGTTATATGATGGTGGAGCCAGGCCTTGAGTACTGGTCCACCCAACTCAAGTTGAGTGACCTTTGTCCCAGACTTATATTTCTTATTATCCTTATTATCACAATATGAATAAGTAATAATAACTGTTACAAATGGACCTAAGGCAGTTTTGAATACACAGCCATTAGGGTATTTTGGTAAATACTGTTGGGTGCCAGTAGTTGTCGTTGGGTGAGGTTTAACTTCTTCCTAATACCTAGTTCAAGTTACAAAGACCAAAGTCTTCAGACCACATTTTGCCACACATACAGACATGTAGTGGCAGGCATGCACAGAACAGCCATGCAGCCTTTTCCGAGCTCTTTGCCCATTTTGGTGCTCTGACATGCTCCTTGCCTGAAAAGTTCACCTGAGGCAAATGGGACAGCATTCTAGTAGGCAAGACATGCTAGCTTTTTGGTTGATTGGTAACCAAGACGACTGCACCAGCAGGACCACTTGGGAGGGTGAAGTCCATGGTTGCCATTCTCAGTTCTCAAGGTAAAGACTCACTATCCTTACAGCCAGTTCATGTTTCTTGATCACGCAGATCTTCCCTAATGAAAACCCATTTCTAATGCTTGTTATGTTAATAACAAAGCCTTGAATGCCACCAGGGACCATCCATTGTCGAAGATCAACAAAGCTGGACTTTAGTTAAAGCAGTAAAAACAGATTTTATTCCCTTACTATTGACTGCTGGGGAAAGAGCTGAGTGCCATTCTGTTTTATGCAGAGGTGACTTGGCCCTTTAAAGGGAGAATAAGGGAGTGAGGAGGAGGGTGGGTGGAGGCTCAAGCAGAGTCAGGAAAGTGAACAGTTACAAATGGCTAATCAGCGTAAATGCAGTTAGGCCAGCTGCCTGCTGGCTGGCTCTGATC